AGGGGGCGAAGCGAGGGGGATATGCTCATTTCACGTAAACACACTTTTACCCCACAAGTGTGTGTGTTCATGCATGCTCACTGCACACTGCGCGGTTTCTGAAGTTGAAGAGGGGCTGTTAAGTTTCCTGACAAAGGAAATGCCTGAACACACCTTTTCAAATAAGAAAATGTGTGTGCTTTTGCGCGTTGGCCGCTTCACTTCTCCGCCCCCTTGCCTTGTTCCCGCGCGCTCTATCTTCCGTTACACCCCTAAGTAAGGGAGCCACTAAGCCGCCATGGCAGTATCATTATTTTAGTTGCGTGTTGTGGAGCAGTTACACGTGACAGGAACATGCCGCTTTATAAACAGGAGTCCATGACAAAGGGGTGATGTACCTGGACTTAAATGAATGTACACATGCACACCTTGAAATAGGAGAGGCATGCTCGACTGTCATAAAAATATTTGTGACGGTCTGAAGCTGCTAACTTATAGAAATAGGGTTAACAGCCAACAAAAAAAAAAACAAAAAGAAAGGGAGGCATTCCCATGTGGCATAATATGCTCCTTATCGTGTGGCCTCACTGCTCATTCATAAAACCATCTTATAGAAAAATGGGCAGCGTGCCTCCAACGTCGTGTAGAACACTCTTTTGCTAAAATGATTCACACGAAAGGGTACAAGAAAAAAAAAATAAAATAAAACAAGGAAGAGTTTAATATATTCTCTTGAAAACAAATGAAAGGTGAACACGTCATACGCATTTATAGGAATATATATGTATATCTATACATGTTATATACCCCCTGCATGACATAGAAAAACACCGTTGATTGTAAAAAAAAAAAAAAAAAAAAAAGAAATTATAAAATCGGAAAAATGGTGACCTGCGCTAGCCAAAGAATGTGATGATACGAACATGTAAAAAGGTGTGATATTGACGTGTAGAAATTGCGTATACATAGAAACACGCTTCACCTATACCCATAAACGTTCGTGCCTTTACATCCGCGTGCTTTCACTTTTCCTTGTTCTCGTTTTTTCGGATATGTCCACGTTGCACATGTAGGCAGTCCGCGCCCTTGCACTTTGGCGGAGATAAAAGAAGAAAAAAAAATATGAACAGGTCAGGTAAAAAAAATTAATATTCCTGAAAGGTCATATCATCCCCTTCCAACTTGTGTGGGATGTAATACACAAAGGGAACGGTACACCTCCTACACGCTGTTATTCGTAAATTTTAAAATGGATAAGCGACATACATGTGTTATATGTATAATACATGTAGCACTCTCAAAATTTTGTAAATTGTCCAGTGGAATAGCAAAAAACAGTCCCACGTGTTAACATTTTTAAAAACTAATTTTGTAAAATTTAAAGCTTAATAAATTAAAAAAAAAAAAAAAAAAAAAAAAAAGCTAGCCAGAAAAAATCCTCTTCATGGGAAAGAATTGTAGAGGCAGATCGGCATTGCTATTCCGTAAATGGTGCAAAAATGGAAACAACAACAAAAAAAATGCACACACACACATGTTAGGGAGTAGTCACCACATTGCACTTTTCAGTTAACGTAATAATGATCGCAGTGCGACGAGCTCTGCTTCCTGTAGATGTCGTAAAGGTCCCTCACTTCAACGGTGTCGTAGGGATTTTTAAGATTGTATATATTTTTTGTCAATTGCAAGTATTTCTTTTTCAACCCTTTTTTATTTTTGGCCTTTTTTTTGTTTTTTTTCCGATTTGTATTTTCCTCTACATAAAAGCTAGTTTTGTTATAGACGATGGTGTTTTGGCATTGATTGCTTACAGACTTTCTGGACTTAATTTTTTTGCAACAACAGGTGCAGCTACAATTGCAGTTGTAGTTGCTTCTTCTGTATGGATCGTTCCCGCCGTATGCATGATGTATATTCCCTACATTGGAGATTTTTTTCACACCTTTTGTTTTCCTCTCCTTTCCGATATTTAGCTCGTTCTGCGTGTAAAAAAAAGGGGATGGGGTGGAAATTGGACAGTGTGAGTTTATCCCTCGCCATTAACGCGAGACGTACTGCACGCACATAGGAGGACCCACTCTGCCCCACCCCAAAGCAGGCATATATGTTACAAAGCGGAAACACTAACCCGATCGTCCACAAGGCAGTACCGTGCACAGGTACCAAACACACCGAACCTTTTCGAGTTGGTAAAATTTCCAAGGAAGGTTCTACAAAATAGGGTGGAAGGAATGAAAGGGGGCATGAACTGGCTGTTTGTTCTTTTTTGCCTTCTCATTTTTGCCAACGCGTAGGAGTCAGCGTGGACATGTACATGCAAGGGGACAGGTGGTGGTAATGCGCAACAGACACACAATGCAAATTAAAAAAAAAAAAAAAAAAACCATTACATGATGTTATTCAAAAATCCATCAGTATATTTCGTAAAGTGGTTAAAAACGTTTTCCTGTTCTTGTATGGTCCGATTGTACGAGTTGAGTTTTTTTTTAATTTCATTTATTCTCTCCCTTTGCTCAATTAGCTGTGTGTTGTAGAGGTGGCACATGTATTCCATCTCGGTGCACTTCCTCAGGGGGACGTTAGCCTGCATGCGCGGAGGTTAGCGGTGTGAAGGATGTGGTGTCCACGCGCGCCCTTCCTCCGTTTTGGTGAACTATCTCTCTGTTGGGAAGGCACCTCAGCTGCGTTTTGTATAATCTCCCTCTCCGTGTGGGTAATCATTCACACGGCATTTGCCAAGACACAAACTGCTCAGCGAAAATCTCAGGATGTCCCTTACCTCACTGGATTCCCGGTGCATCTTTGCCTAGTCGAATGGTAAATTGGGGGTAAGCTAGCAGGCCAAACGAGCGGGCCAAATGTGCAGGCGCAAACTTAGGTTAAAGTGACGCCACCGTCTGGGGGGCTTTGCAAATGTAGCGATTTTGGGTTCAAATGTGAGCGGCGGACAGAGACGAAATTCCTGTTCGTCCGGACTGCACCTTGTTTAGCGGCTACTGCGGGAAGATTTTGTAAAGGGGGGACACACAGACGCAATTTCTGCAAAGGGCCCCAAAGAGCACGTAAATGCTTCGTCAAAAGCGAAAAACAAAGCAACCGGTTTGAAGTGCAGCTTGGGCAGGCAGTCTGCTGACCAGATAACAAATTACCCGACTGACTGGGTGGTCAATTTATGTATGACCCAAACATGTCTTTCCGCTCGAAAATTTCACTAACGGATTAGACTCCTATTTTGAAACCATATCATGAGTAAAGGAAAAAAAAAAAAAATATATATATGTATGCCGCACGCGCTTGTCCGGCTATGGGTCACTCTGCTCGGAATAATTTGCGACGCGTTTGTTATTTACGTTTGCCTTTGCCCGATGGCGCAGACAAATTTTTATAGATTTATTACCCAATGGGGGGATGGACGCAGATGGCAGAAAAAAAAAAAAAAAAAAAAAAAAAAACGTATGCAACAACTCCAGTTAACATTCATCCGGTTACACATTTGATCAGTTCTGTGGAGCACTTCAATCACGAGTGTGACTTTCCCTCTTGTTTGCGTATGCACATCTGCGAGGTTCATCGGACATACATATGCGCATACCTGCACGGGTGTTTCACTTTTTTTTTTTTTTTTTTTTTTTTGGAGACCGGGAAGGGTCGTGTCGAGTGCATACACCTAATGATGCAACCGTGAGGGAAATGATCCACGTAATGACAACCATTGGGAAAACGCAATTCGCCTTTTTCTAATTCAATGGGTAATGGTATATCTGTGGGCATGCAGCTAAATGAAATGGCAAATGGAGTCATGCGTATTCCATGCACCCGCCTTTTTGTGGTATTAAAAATTTTTTTTTTACCAACACTGTTCGTTACGACCGATCTGTGCAAATAGGCTGATTTATGCACAGTGAACGCACGTCTGGCTCTGCTCTCCCCAACTGGGGAAACTTTCGTAGAACACCCACAATGTGGCAAATGTGTGGCGTAATTGTTGCACACATGGGTGTGAAGAGTTCCTCAAGTAGCGACAACACCTTTCACCAATTTTTTATTTTTACGTTGATGTCTCTTTCTATATTTCCTTTTTTTTTGTGCAGACATGTAAGCACATGGGCGTGCCCAACAGTTGCGAGAACACTTCAAAACGAATAAAAAATTTTAATGCCGCCCCGGGGGTTTTGGCCGTATGTGGAGGTACCCTTCATAGTTCCGCACTGGTGACTGTCCATTCGGAGGTGCGTAAAAAAAAAAAAACAAAAAAAAAAAAAAAAAAAAAAAAAAAAAAAAAAAAAAAAAAAAAAAAAAAAAAAAAAAAAAAGAATTAACAACAAGGTGCAAATAAATTGTACCCTTTTAAAGCATATCTATGCTTCACACAATCATCACCTAAATGATGAATTTTTATTTTTATTTTATTTTATTTTCACCATCATTGTTTGCGAGAACGGTTATTCCTCATGAGGTACCCCAAGTGAACAAAACCATCGAGGGCTCGAACGAATGGCCAACATAATCCACCCCCTATACATGTTATGTGGTAGTCCGTGATAACTTCAACTGTTGATTATTTGAGTTAGGAAAGAAAATGTGGGTGTGGGGGAGGATGACCTAACGAGTGTACCTCCACAGCTCCTACAGCCGGTGCATCGTACAGGAATGTTACTACATGAGGCATTTAACCAAATGTGTAGCTTTCCCCTCTCCACCCCTGTTGTATGCAACTCGAATTGTATGTCCTTAGCCACGCGCTAGAGGGGCCCTGTGTAAGCTTCTTTAAGGAGCATTGCATATTCCGCAAAGGCGTTTTCTTGTGCAGGCTGATCATAGAAAACTGTGTAAGCCACAAAAGGGAAGCAGCCGCAAGGTACCCTACGCGTAGGTGAAGTCGTTTCCTTTGGCACTTTTGCGGTTCCGTTGTTGATTTTATCTTTTACTACCGTTTTTAGCGTTTTATATATTTTCACCCCTTGTGCTTCTCCCCCGTTGCACTTCTTTCCCCCCTCGATGCAAACCTGCACGTACGAACAATGGGGAACACACTGGGCGTTGAATGCTCCTACAACCACGTCCGCCTGACGAGCATTGTGGTGAAGGGGGAAATGAGGAGTAACCACGAGGAGGCAATGAATGGTGCAATCGGTGCAGACGCGCGTCGAGAAAATTTCCCCTCGAGTGAGGACACTCAGCCTCAGGTGGGACAGCAACAACAAATTTGTTCTCACAAGATTGACCACAATTGCATCACCGGTGAAGGGTCTCGGTTTCAGTGCAAATCGGAACCATCTACCGAGCATGGAGAGTACCTTCAAATGCAGAAGGATATATACGCTTACCTACTAACCATACGGCACCTCATTGTGGGCCATGTGCACCTGCTTGTTCTGTACCACGATAAAGCAAAAAATCAGCACCTCCAAATGGTGCCTTCAAAAATGGGTACCCACTTGGAGGAACCATTCTGTGCATACGAGAATTTCCTTGCGGCTCAATCGTCGGGGGAAGGAGGAAAGAAGACAGACCCAGTACTGGATGAACAGATTGGCCAAATTTATTTCATCACCATAAAGGTGAGCAGTGTGGGTGAAGCTCTGGCCAAGTACCCACAGAAGACATTCTCAAGGACAGTAATAAATCTCACCGGGATGAGGAGTTCCTACATTAGGAAACAACTTTTTAAGTTAAAAAAAATGAACAACCTGTCCTATCACGAAGAAGTAAAATGCATCAACAGCGCACTTCTTTTTTTGAACAAATATTACCCTGGTAGTTTGTACAAATTTGTGCGGGAGGAGTGTAGTATACATGGGCAGGAAGAAAATAATAATGGACTACGAGAAAAATACCTGAGCCAAATGGGACAAGCTCATGATACGTACCCTTACCTTCTCGTCAGTGTAAACAGAGGAATCACTTACCATTTGGTCAATGCAAATAAAGTTGTCACGCGCGTTGGCACATGTTTCATTTCGTACAAAAGTGCAGTAGGCTTGTTCTTTTTAATAACAGGGAAACTCTCCTCCATAGAAAAAATTTGCCAGCTAGCGAAACGTGGGGACAGTAAAACATTTGATATGTCCGTTGGGGACATTTATGGTACCTCTTATGGCAACGCTGGGCTGAGCAGTGATTTAACTGCCTCTTTCTTTGGTAGCGCGCAGCATATAGCTGATGTGAAGGCGCTGTTTGGAGGTCCGCAGGTGCAAGGGGGGAACGCTGCCTTGGCCGCAGGCACCGACTGCGACTCGTTCGATAGTGACCAGGTTAGTGACTGTGACAGCGATAGTGAGCGCCATTGCGACTACACCGGCACGGTGCAGAAGAGATGCCCCGCGCATGTTCCCCACGGGGGAGGCCTCACCAAGCGGACAATACAACATTGCAGGGCAAAACATATCCTTATGGTGAGCAAGAAATGCCAAAGTGACCCCGGCATGGAGTCAAAGGTCTACTCACAAGTAGGCAGCTGTAGACGCCGCACAAGAAGTGAGCGTCTTCTGTTCGGTGACAAATGGCACAGACACATGTGTGCAAAGACAAGCAACTACTCAAAATGTTATGAACAAGTCAGGCGGAAGAATGTCAACCTTGCAAATGACTCTGTAGAACGTCACGCTGGACAAATTGTCCAATCACATGTTAAGGGAAGCAATGGGGATGCTTACAAACGTGTTCATACGAAGGTTGTGAGGGAGGTGGAGGAAGAAGAAGAGCCCAACAAATACGAATGTGACCTATCCAAGTCGCTACTCTCAATCGTTATTTTTAACGCAGCCCAACAGGCCTACATTCACAGCCAACTGTACAATGTTAAGAACGTTTTTTTTTCGGGGTACCTCCTGGAAAATGCGACCTGCGTGGAACTCATGAAAGTCATTGTGAATTTTATGTACCATAATGTGCAGCAGCTCCATTTTTGCACGCTTTCTTCATACATGAGCAGTTTTGGCTGCGCTCTGCAATGCTTACGTTGGGAGGAGGAGCCCGTCCCCTGTTGCTAATTCATTTGACCAGGGTTGGGACATTCGCCCAGGTGAACTTTTGTCCTCTGCTTCGTTTTTCGCACCTGCGTTGTTAATGTGCACTGTTAATGTGTGTTTTAATCTGCGCTGTTAACCTGCCCTGTGTTTCCGCCGTTTTGTCCTTTTTTGCAACCGCGCATGTGCTGTACACATCCGGGGGGGTTTTTCTCCCAGCGAAGTTCCCCTTCCCTTTTTTTCCGAAATGTCTCGCAAAATTGCGTTAATCCAATTTTATTCAAAAAAAAAAAAAAAAAAAAAAAAAAAAAAAAAAAAACTGCCTGAACAAGTTAAGCTATATTTTGCACTTTTCCCACCACTTGTCCAGCAACTGAATGGTATAAATTTTACGGCAATCACATCCTTCTGACTTTTTTTATTTATCTCCATTAATTCGAACACTTTAGCACGACACATATATTGGCCATTTTGTGGCGACTGGACCGGTGGGGAGAACTCCCTATTGGGCCCCTGCAGTCGTTGCAATTATACGTTGATTTACTTTATTTTATTTTTTGTTTACATTTTCACTTGGCTGTTTCCTTCCCAACGATTTGTAACGGAACATAATCATATACAATGAAGGTTGCTGGACAAACAGGTACAAACACGCCGTTCCCTTTATTGTTACCGTGTTTTTGGTGATTTTTGTCCGCGCCTTTCCAACGTGATTGTTTTCCCCTAGCGTAAAGTTCGAAGTTCTTCTCTGCGATGACTGACACAGCTATTTTTTTTTTCCTGTTTCCTCCGCCGTTGCGTGTCGACTGTTCCTCGGCGCACCCCCCACAGCACCTCTTTTCCAACGCACACGTGTAAACAAGTGTAATTTTACATCGTTGTGGTGATTTGTTCCGCATCGCGCCAAAATGGAAACAATCGTGCGACCCCTCAGAAAAATGCAAAAAGAAAAAAATATACAAAATTGTGACCGGTTTCATGGGGAACTAGCAGGCATCCCTCTAAACGAGTATATATATATAAACATTTTACATCCACTCGCATTCATTAAAACATAAAAAAAAGGAGAAAAGGAGAAAAAAAAGGAGGAACAAAGGAAAAAAAATAAAAGGCGAAACGCACAAGAGAGAAGTAAAAACACTACAACACTAAGTTACCCCCCACACACACACACACTCCGTCGCGTGTGTCCATCGAACAGTTATTGTCGTATGCGTGAAAGCGAAGGCTGTCGTACATAGGGTTCCACGTGTACGTATGCACATGTGTGCTGCTGACTTTATATGTGTCCGCTTCCCCAGCAGGTGTAAGTACGCGAAGGACCCCGCGGCACAAAACGGAAAACGGTGGACGCGAGGGGGAAAATGCGCTCCATTTATTTCAAGGTGAACAAACAAAATCGAGAAAATTTAAAAAAAAAATAAAAAAATACATAACACGATCACACAAGCAGATATGTATGAACTGAAAAGTATAACGAGTCATACAGAAGAATATGATGGCAACTCCACCACGGAATCGAGGACAATTGACATTGAAGAGGGGGACATTGCAAAGAAGGCATTTAATTGTGGAAAAAAAAATAAATTAAAATCTTGTGGCTTTTTTACAGACAACGAAAGCTCATTTCTTGCAAAGGGAAAAATGGCATCACACAAAGACAATCAGAAAAATGCAAAAAATAATGTAAAATTTACAGACATTTTGAAATGCCCATGGGAATTTCACACCAATTTTGTGAGTATGATTTTATTTATAATAGGCAGTACATTTTTCCTTTACCCAAAGTTATACGTAGCTGGCTGTATCATTTTTGCCATAGCATGTGGTATGTGTACGTATAGCAATGTAGTCGGCGCTGTTAACGTTGGCTACGAAAGGAAAAGTGAATACCTTGGGTATGTTTGTTACGTAATTGGGTGTATTGTTTTTATAATCGGTTCAGTTTATTGCTGTTTTAAGGAAGACTTCTTTGCAATTATGACCTTTGTTGTAGGAAGTATTTTCTTCCTCGTTGGAGCCGCCCTTTTTATTATTGCTATAGATTTTAACAATATAAAAAGTGTGGATTATAAGGTTTTCATTGTTTATATGTCCAATTTAATTGGGGGCCTTTTATTTACTATTGCCAGTGTTCTTTTTTTTTACCCCAGTTGGTACAATCAAGCTTGTTACATGTACGTCGCGGGAAGTTCGCTCTTCACCTTGGCCACCTGGTTCGATTACATCATTTACGCAGCCAGTGTAGCTTAATGTGTCTCCCCTTCCAGCTGCTTCCCCTTACCTTGGCATATTTTGCCACAGTTGGCAAGTTTGCATACTTTAGTAGGCACCCTGCACATTTGCCTTTTTTTTTTTTTTTTTTTTCTGTGTTTCGCATTCATCACTGCTTTTCACTTTTATGTTGTCGAGCCGATTCGACACATGCGCGGCGAAGGGGTATTCTCTCCCTCCCTTGTGCCGTTTCTGCTGCGCTCCTTTACCCTCCTATTAATGTGCATTGTTCAGCCTCATTCGTTTTAATGTAATTTTAAACATTTGTTCTGTACGCGAATTTGCATACGTGCGCACGCGCATCCGTGCCTACGCGTCTATGTGTGTGCATGTGAGCCCCCTTATTTTTTAACAGATCGCCAGTGCGTCTACAATGCTGCATGTCGAGTGTACAAAAATTGGTGGGCATAAGTACACAGAGTGGCCCGTCGTCGCTGCGCTTACTTTGCAACATCGAGGTGTGGCTTCCTTCTGCACCTTTTTTTCCTCCCTTGCACATGTTGCCATTGTATATTTGTGTGCATTTTACCAAAACGAATGCAACTTTTTCAACAACCTGAACAATTCATAATTAGTGGATTAATGTTGTTATTGTTTTTTCCTCTGGAGGTGTAACGTCGTTGGTTGAGTTGCCGGATGGCTAAATCGCCATTTCGCTAATTTGCACACGTGTGCCATTTTTACCTGCACAAAAAAAAAAAAAAAAAATCCTACACAATGGCTAGCTGGGTAAAGCTTCGCCTAAACTGAACGTCCAAGGACGATAAAAAAAAAAAAAAATACACAACAAAGGTTCATTACACACTAAGGAACACTTGCATTCGCTTCGTTCTGCAGGGAGAAGGCGATTATCAAAATTTCACTTGCTATGCATAATATGCCTGTAAAAGAAAATAACGAATCGGGGGGTCTTCTCACGCGTGCTCTCCCCTGTCGCATACGCAAAAATGTGCACTATTGCGTAGGCGAGGAAAAGGCGACAGAGCAGGGATGCCAGCATAGAAAGTTACGAAACGGTTAAAGTGCCAAATTAGGATGCGTGTAAGTTGTGCAATTTTTCTTGTTGAATTATTTAACTATCATGGTATGGTGTTGTCATGTGGTCATACGAATTCACCCCCCCGTGGTGCTAACGCGTGGGGTTTTTAAAGGAGCCCTGGGATAATTAAGTATGAACAGTGGGTGCGTCGCTGATCGTACGGCGCTTTTTTTTTTTTTATTCTTTGCGAGGGGCCCTCCGAAGGATAGTTACGCTGTTAGGATTGGGTGTAATTCTCTATATGTCGCAACATCACTATATTTCCCTTCCCTTGTGAGCCGCTTTTTTCCTCCCCCCCCCCCGTTCAAATGACCGCGCTTCCGGGCAGAGTGGGGAGGATCCTGAAGATCCGAAGAGGGCAGCTCCCCAACACGCGTAGCTTGAGCTCGTGCAGCAAGGCGGAAGCATATCAGCGGCATGCCGTGAATGTGCAGCACGCGCAGCGCGAGAGTGACGTATATGGGCAGTACGACAACCTTCTGAACATAGGAAGCAAAACGCCTGAACAGGTCATAAAATTGTTAAGCGACATAAGCAAGGAGAGGAGGTGTGACGCGGAAGTGGTAAAGACGATCACGAATCATGTGTACGATTTTTGTGAAGACTTCTTCCCCCCTCAGCTGGTGAAGGTGTTAGAAATTTACGCCAAGTTAAAATACTCAAATGAAACCTTACTTGGTGTTGTCTGCAACAGAGTAAATGACCTCACAAATATTAGGTCATGTCTTAGGGTAAAAATAATGACAAACATTTACAAGCAATTAAATCTTCACCACCCAGTAGTCAAATCACCACTCATGTCGCAACTGAATAGCAACATAAATGATTACAAGAACGAGTTGGTCTCCATTGTTAAAAATGTATCCTACCTGTACGTAGATGCAGATACCTCTGCAAATATTATAAACAGAATTTTAACCAATTATGAGTATTATGAAAAAGATGCGTTCACCATACTTGAAGCGTGCAGCAGGTTGGACAATTGCCATGAGGTGTTGATCGAGTTGGTGAATAACAAGGTGAAGGAATTACAAACAAATGGAAGCAACTGTAGCTTCAAAAATTTTGTAAAATTTATAAGTGCATATAAAAGACTAGGGTTAAAAGAAAACACATATATACATGCCCAGTTTGAAAAAAAAATTAATAACATCAGGTTGTTACCTCCAGAGAATATCTCCTATGTGCTCCTTTTATTATTGTCGTGCAAAGTGAGACATGAAGGATTATTCGACTTGATCATCATGAACATAGAAAATTTTGTGAACAGCAAAAATGAACAGCTAGCTGTGGAAGAAAAAAATTTGTATGTCTCTCGCCAAGGGGAGAAGAAATGCGATGGGGAAAACTCACACAAAAAGTATACCCCACAAAATATTTACAATTCTTACATTCTTTACTTCTTGCCCTTCCACCTGCTTCTTCTAACGCTGCTAAATTACGGGGAGAAAAGTACACTCAAGCATCTGCTAAATGTGTGCGTCCTGGATTATCTACATTTGTACGATACATCGCGTTTAATTAAGCTACTCTACGTTTGCACACTGCTGACCATGGAAGGTGAAGAGACAAGTAAAAGGGGGAACTTAGCTGATCTGGAAGAAATTGCAGAGAAAATTTTCTTAGCCCTTCAGTATGTATATAAAAACGCTACCATCAACGAGATGAAAATTTTATACGACTGTTTTTTGTATCACAAAAAGGCTGTTGAAAAAAATTCAAATTTGAACAAGTTACACGATGATCTGTTGCACACTGAATGCCTATCCCTTTTGCCATCCTCCTATGACAATTTAAATTTTGAAGATTTAAAAATCGTCACGTGTGCTAGTTCGTCTTACTTGCAGGGGAAGACTGATGATACAATTTATTTTTACCTGAACAGGAATGATTTTTTTTCCTCCAACGTGTGTGGCTACGAGGACTTGCTGCTCAGTGTCAAGTTACGTGCGAACATTTTGCGCAAGCAGTACGGTGCGACCCACACTGTGCAAATGGTTTACCCTGGAGCAGCGGCCGGGAGTTGACTCAAATCCGATGGGTAGCCACCACACTATCCCGGAGCCCCTGTTGGGGGTAACCCTCCGTAGAATGATAGGGCCAACTTTGGCTTCATCGTATAGAGGTCACCTTGGGAGTGTACTTTTTTTTTTTTTTTTTTTTTTTGTCACATCGTGTTGGTTACCCCCTGCGCATTTTTTTTTCTCGCGCCCAGATGGATTGAACCATCCGACCTGAGCTGCGATTAGCGTAATATACCTGAGCGAGTAAGGGGCGACCACCCCATCAACCCTTCATCATGGAACAGTATGTGTAAACACTTTTTACTTTAAAATGGGCAAAGTTTAAAATGTGTGAAGTTTTTTTTTTTTCACAGGGGGTGCTACGTGAGCACTATTTTGTGTCTTTTTTTTTTTTTTTTTTTTTTTTTTTTTTGTGGGGTGCGTGTCCGAAGTGGTGGCAAGAGGGTGCGCTGACGCGGTTTCACTTGCCGCGTAGCCGCTTAACCGCTTCACTGCTAACCGATGTGAGGATTAGGCCCCGGTTTGGGTGGCGCCCACGTAGCAGGCTACATCGCCCTGCTCGTAGTCCAGCGCGTAGGACATGGACTTGAGTTGCTCCGCAAACGGGGAGTCCTTCTTAAGGTAAACAAAATTGGAAGTACAATTTTGCTTCATGGAAAAGGCATGTAGCTTCTGCATCAAGTGAGTAAAGGTGGCCGCATCGGTTGCATAAGTATAGCAGTGGTTGGCGTCTTGTCTCTTTTCTGTTTTCACCAAGCCAGTAACCTTATTGCTTTGCATGTGTAGAATGACATTGTACAGGTCGTAGTCCGCATTGCACAGCTCGAAGGCAAACAACTTCGTCTTTATGCTGTCCTCCGTGGTGAAGAAGAAGGTACTTTGGTGTAACTCTTTTGCGTTGCTTTGGAGGAAGGCGTGCATAAGTTTGACATCGTAGGGGTGGATAGACCTGGTGATGGAATTGAACTGACTGGGTAGGTGCAGTGGGGAGGTGGCTTCTTCACTAGAGGCACCCTTCTTCTGTGCCTGTGATGCATCGCCCTTTTTCGTGTTATCCCCTGAGGCGTCCTCACCAAAAAAGACCATATCCACTGGGTACTTCTTCGCAAAGCTGCTGTATAGAGGGTTGCTCTTTGCAGACTGGAACGAGTCCACATTTACATTTTTGCGCAGAGTGAATCTAGCATCTAAGGCAACAATGTCGCTACCCGACACGAACAAGGGGTTTATATCACACTCGTTAATGTAGGGGACGAGATCCATAATGAGGTCAGCAAAATTCATAATTTGGCTAATAAGTTTTGGCATATCACATTTTTTAAACCTGGAAGATTTTCCTAACAGGGCATGATAAATTTTTGTCTCCTTCATCGTATGGTGTGTGTATGAGTAGCTGAGTGGTGGGATCAACAACACATTGTCTTTAAATATTTCCACGTAGGATCCACCTGAACCGAATAGCAAAACGGGTCCAAAATTTGCATCAAAATAATACCCTAGAATTAACTCTATACCGTCATTTGTATTCATCATGGTTTGTATGGTGACTCCTTTAAATTCACTTTCTACCTTGTGTTTTTTTACATTTTCATGTACAGTTTTATAGGCCTCGATGAGCTCTTCCTGATTTTTTATATTAAGAATAACTCCGCCTATATCCTTTTTGTGTGTAATGGTGTCTGAATATATTTTCATCGCACATGGGAAGGCAATGCTAGAAATATTTTTTTGTATATCTTCCAGGGTGTGGAATATTTCTGTTGAAACTGTTGGGATGCCATATGCTTGAAGAATTTTCTTCGAATCAAATTCATTTAAAATGTAGTTTTTATTTTTGAGCGCATTTTGTATTATATCTTCTGGCGTACCACCACCGCTACTACCACCGCTACTGTGCTGTTGTTTACTGCCTGCTTGCTCCTGTCCCGCTTCTCCACAACCAAAGTTCGTGGTGTTACCAAAATGGTGCTTATAAATGATTCCATTCACATAATGATTCTGTTCTGCATCTGCCAAAAAGGTAGGTATTTCCTCATACAGATTTTGAATGTGGATCATATTTTTATAAAGCTTTAATAAATTTTGTGCGGAGTGTTCAGGGTGAATAAAGGTAGGGATATTATTTTTATTTAAAAGGTTCGTAGATTCTTCTAAAGATGTGCCTCCGAGGTAGTTACACAGGATCAGTTTTCCTTGCTTCGTCATATCATCCTTCACATTAATAATTTCCTTTGCAGTGTTCATTGGTTCTGTGACACTTTGCGGAGACAAGAGAATAATTATATTTTTGAATTGATTATCTTTTATTAATGCGTCGACTGTTTTTTTATACAACACTGGGGATGCATCTCCCAGGATGTCAACTGGGTTCGCTTTACTCCATGAAGGAGGTAAAAAAGAATCTAGCTTTTTCTTCAAATCTTCATTCAGCTTGGACAAATTTCCATCGTTCCTTGTTATATTATCCACTAGAAGTACTCCTGGACCTCCTGCATTCGTCACCACACACACTTCATTCGTCTCGGGATAGCTCGACAAGTTAAGAATTTTACACATGTTAAATAATTCTTCAAAATTATCTACAACCAGAACCCCTAATTTTTTCATAGATGCATAAAATATTTCATAATTTCCAACCATAGAACCCGTATGTGAAATAGCTGCTTCTGCCGCTTTAGCTGTTTTACCACTCTTCAAAAGGATAATGGGTTTGTATAAACATACCTTTTTACAAACAGCCATAAATTTATTCATGTCTCCAATCGATTCTACATAGAGTAAGATATACTTGGTGTTCATGTCATAAAAAAGATATTCCACTAATTCATAAAATTGTACATCACACATAGAACCCACAGAAATGAAATGTGAAAATCCAATGTTGTGTTGTAGAGACAGATCTAATGCAGCTGAACAGATGGCTCCACTTTGTGATAATAAAGAAAAATTCCCTTTTAATATCTTATTATCTGCAAAGGAAGCATTCATATTGTGATACGAGTGTATAATACCTAAACAGTTTGGCCCAATAATTCTTATTCCATTATTTTTGGCTACATCTATAATTTGTTGTTCTAATTTTATTCCTTCTGAACCCGTTTCTTTGAACCCAGCAGTTACAATTACTACCCCTTTCACATTTTTACTATTCAATTCTTTCATGACTCCTAGGACGTGATCCCGTGGAACAGCTATCACTGCCAAATCAATATTTTCTTCCGGAACCTCGCCAATCGTTTTGTAGCTGTCTCGGTCATATACCTTGCCTCCCTTCCTATTGACAAAATATAATTTGTAAGTTTCCTCTCCTTGCATAAGATTCTTGACAATGGAATTTCCCACAGAACCGACCCTCTCTGTCGCTCCGATCACTCCAATGCTCTTTGGCTTGAACAGGTAGTTCAAGCTATTCTTGAAGTTCCCCACTTGCTGCACATTTTGGTTGTACCCCACCCACACGCTGTAGTAGTTCCGCAGCGCCCCCAGTTTACTGCTGCGCTTGCTTAGAATCATTGGCAAGGGGCACTGACAGAACGGTGTAAGAGTGTGATGCCGTCTCCGCGGTTGGCAGCTCTAGAACCATAGCCGCGTTGTGCAAATGTGATCAATTCGAACAAGGAATGTGTACATGTACAAGTGGCGGGGCGCAAAACGCAATATCCCACACGAAAACTATGTGCACAGAGAGAGGGGACAAAAGGGAACACAAGCAGCTAGATGTAACGAACGAGTGGTATAACACCCGAGCACATGTACTGATACGAGTTTCACTTCTCCTGTCAATGGGGTGCAGCTGCACCCTTTTTTACCTCCTGTGTGTATGCCAATGTGTGTACAATGCGTGTGGAAAAGGCATTCTTCGTGTCGCCTCGCAAAAAAAAAGGGAAAAACAAGTACAGGGTACCTAATGGCGCATGGAGAAAGGATACAAAATTGAAAACGCGCAATCTCGCTTAAGGGCAGCACAAAATTGAACAGATGGCAAAGCCACACTTTGCGCGATTAGCTCGTGAAAGGAGCCCCTTTGGATGGAAGAGAAGTCACTTGGTCTTAAGTAAAACCAACAGGAAAGGGAAAATTTATATCTTATCGCTTATTTTCATGTTGACATTTTTTTTGTGTGAAAGGGCAAAATGTGTTCATTTGGGGGCATACACTTGTGTGGGAATTTCTCCTAAGTTTTTTTTTTTTTTTTTTTTTTTTTTCTCGGCCAAGAAATGCCCAGATGTAAGGGGATATCAAGTGCCTCATGAAAGCACGAGCATCTCCTGCGATTGATTCATGGCTTTGTAATGCACGCAATGAACAGTTAAGGAATATCCATTACCGGAAAGGGGAGATGATCTAGTATGAACCAGCATTGGCAAGTCGGGTCCCGCTACACAGCTCGCCGAACCTCCATTAGGCACACATGTACGCATGCACATACGTATGTTTTTTTTTTTTTTTTTT